TGAATCATGTTTGGGCGTGTGCTATTGTCTATTGTGTGTATCTACTGCTCGTGTCCAAGGTAGTATGATAACAACTAGCTAGACACGAAGCTAATCCAGCCTCCTTCTCTTGTTCAGTGGTTCTTCCTGCACCCTCTCTCTCTCCCTTTCCTTAAGTCTCTCCAGCAGCAAAAAAAGTTTTCTGCTTAGTTTTCTACACTCATTTCTCCTATTCAGGCGGCTGTGTTAATTTCTATAAACTCCCTAATCTTACGCTTTGACGTGAAGTCCCCGTAATCCGGCCCTTCTTCTCTTAGTTTAGTATATTTTTTCTCTATTGCGTAAAGTATGGATTCTTGCTCTAATGATGTTTGTAACAGTATACACAAAAGCTTAGCACAGTTTCATCGGGGTTGCGACAATCCTCCTTCGGTTTCCGGTGTGACCACATCACGAATATCTTCCAACCAACTTTCATTTCGAAATGGATAGTCATGCCACAATATTTCATTAAGCAATTCTTCTAAACCCAGTTTTTCTTTATATATTTTGGTAGTCTCGAAGGCGTACTTTCAAGACGAAAATAAGTAATGCAGTCGATTCGTATAGCAAATACTTTGTTTCGTCGACAATCCAACCACATAAGGTGATATGAAAAAGTCTTGGCCCTAAATGAAATTCGTGTGTGCCCTGTGAACCAAGGGCCAGTGACGTTGTGTTCAATGTGTCGAGGCTATACGCTGCACCACCACCACCCGAGTTTGAGTCCTACTAGGGATACAGATGAGACCGAGGCGAGGTGGAAACTACAGCTCACACTAGCCTGGATGAGAATACCTTCTAAGAAGAGAAGCTATTTGAAATTTAAGGGAAAATTGAGGCCTGATAATTCAAGTATCAGTCTCTCATTACCCTACGCGAGATGGTGTGAATACATTTTATAAAAATAAAATTCTTTTTTCCATATGAGTAAGATTCAAGACTACCAGTGATTATACAATAATAAATTAATCTAGGTCGCTTGTAGTGTTTTAGTAACTAATAGTGGAGGTTTTCCCACATTAAAATCAAGAGGTCTCAAGATGCCATTGATTTGGTCTATTTTATCCAGGATGGATCACAGTTTCGACCTTCCCTTGATATCGTTAGCATCCGCAGAAGGATTTGATACCGGTTGCTGAGTATAGTGGCGAAGTTTGCCACTCACTGAAATGACCAAGGGTGTAAGTGACTTATAGGTCAGATGCAAAGTAGGCCAAGCCTATCCCAATTCACATTTTTGTAGTAGGATTTTCGATCAAACAGTCGCTATATAATTATTTTTTCGAGACTACCAGAAGAGAAGTCTAGGCTTCTTTGAAATTCCCATGTGGCAGTGTAGTAGTTAGCGTGTCGAGATTATACGCCGCACTAACCCGTTTCGAGTCCCGCTTTGGAGACGGCTGACGAGTCCAAGGCAAGTTCGAAACTGCAGTCCAGTTCCTCCTAAATCAGAATACCTTTTAGGAAACAAGGCTGTTTGAAATTCAATGAAAGCCTAGGTCATACTCATTCCGTTGTGGAGAAATTGAAGTACCAGTCATTCATTAGCCTAAACGAAATAGGGTGAATATAGTTCTTATATCAAACGTTTTTTTATCATTACCCTCGATGAAGTTACATATTTTTGCATCTAAGTAGGTTTTGAGATGAAAAGTATTGGCGACTTGGTGGTACTGAGGCTCTGATTGCGAGTCCAGTAAGTAGAATTAAAGCATATATTGATTTGGGACGCGAAACACTTACCACGTTCCACAAGGTCGGTTTGGCGCACAGATCAATCTTGAGGTTTACAGGTTTCAACCCAAGAGCTTTGTGTGATATAACGTATGTTTTATTTTGGCAGATGAAGCTTTACTTACGTTTGGGAAGCTGACAATCGTGCCTCAGAAGCACCATTTTTTTCAGACAGAGGATGCTCAATGTGACTATAGAGGCAGCTGCACAAAGCATCCCAATTCGTCAGTGATTAAGTATGCGTTTAAACTATGCATAGATCTGGAAATGAGAGCATGAGTCAGCCTTGGTCAGTTAAAGTGACGTCCCGATATCAATGGCGTCTTTAAAATTATAACTCTTAAAAAGTCATCTAGTGTGCTGTTTTTGTCACCAACTTACTTGGAAACTGGTTGCTGTCAGTTAACTGGCAACACTTTACTGCTCCACCTCAAAGCCACGGGTATCATTGGGTCATAGGGCAGATGTGACTGTCAAGGTTACAAAACCACCAATCGAAATCCCTCATTTTAGGGTCATTAAGATTTAATGGTCCAAGGAAAAGGACAATTATGATTGCGTAATCACGTTAGTATGGTAGCGTTAATGGACTATATAGAACTGTTGAACAAAGTTGAATGTATCAAGTCCACTGTCGGATGCTGGGAATCAAGATAACTACTATGGCAGACGACTTCGGACACGGTGCGTTCTGCATAGTCTCCCTGAACACAAGACCAAGTTGCGACAACGAGGTCAACCCACTTCTAGAAGTTGAATATAGTTAAAACCATCACTGAACTTTGTTACGGTTGGAATTGCGAACTCTTTCTTATGCGCATACACAGACGCTCAAGTAGGAATACCTTGATTAACCATACCATTCCCAACTTTTATTTTTTTATTTTTTTATTTTTTTTATCTATTTATTAATATATGTATAAACCTTTTGCTTTTGATTACGAGTATATATATAGCATGTAGGATAGAGCAGGATAGTCTGTTTGATTTGGTGTTAATTTGAAACTTCTGCCAAAATGAGTTCCAGCTCTGATGATGTCCATGATATAAGAGATGAAATCTCAGCCCCTTTTCACTCAGAACGAAGGAGGATGCCTCTTAGGATGTGCCAACCCGAGGAGCGTATTAAAGGCCTAAGAGCATCAATCGTCATCTTCCGTTGAGATCGACCTCCAAATTTCTTAATCATCCATTTTTCTGCGAAATGAAAGTCTCCCCAAAAATGTTATCACAACAGATTTATTGGGACCCAATTACTTTTGTTATATAAAGAAAAAAGCCAAAAGACTTTCAAATCCAGGCTGGACTGCAGTTTTGTCCTCGCCCGGGTCTTATCAGTACCAAAAACAAGATTAAAATCCGGCTTTTACACTCAGCAGACAATACTTTGCCACTCCAATCTACAGCCCCGGCTACCAGTGAGTCAGAAAACCGAAGACCTTGGCAAAATCACATGTTGCATTTTGTCGTTACATCCGACTTAATTATTCATATTCGATATGAGTAGGCTTCGAAACTATACATTTTGGCCTATCTTCCCAAATCAATATATGAATCTATCAATCGTCCTGTGTCTAACTGTTCAGCTGTGTGTCCAACTGATGCAACCCAACGAGACAATCTTCCTTGCCTTCCAATCTTTCGTTTCTGGCCTCCGTAGACAAAAATCTTGACTGACGACTACCGGTAGACTAATGCAAGTCGCTACGCCAACTCTTCACTCATCGTCACAAGCATGCCTGCAGGCTGGCGGACACACCGGAGTTGGCATGCGTGCGCACACACAGTCGACTGATCCGCCCGGAGACGCTGTGTACAAGACAGGTATGGTTCCCAATCTACAGCATCGCCCAGGGCTTTGTATAAGACTAATCTGCCCGTATCTGCAGTCCTGCTTTCCTCCCTCCCCCCTCCCTCGTCTGATTCAATCTCATCCGCCCCTCCTTCCCAGACTGCCGTTCATCGGTCTTCAAGTCTCTGCTGCAGTTCTTTGCCGTTCCTACTTTGTTCCCCTTCGCATCTTTTCTCTTCCCTTCCCTACATGTCCCCCTTCTCGTCTTGCTTCTCACCTCTCCACACTTCATTTCTCCCACTTTCTTGTCTCTTCTTCTCCTTTGTTCTCATTCTTTCATTCTTCCCCCTTTGCCTCTTCTCTGTTGTCTGTCACTTCTCTTCCCCTCAGCTGGGCAATCTTCTCTTCGCCTCATTTTTCCGACCTCTTTTTTTGCCATTCCTGCTCTCCACCTGCTTCCGGTTGAAGAAACGGAAGTGTTGGATTGAAGGTCTAGAAGGATGGCCCTCCTCATTCTCCCCATCAGCTTGATGGACAAATGAGTAGATGAGGCCAGATAGTCTGGCAACGGGAGTCGCAGACAATCCGGTACAGGAAAGGAACGAGATGTTGAGGGCAGGGGGACTGGCCTGAAGCAGTTGCACGGAAAAACTGGAGTCAAGATTAACAATCAAGCAAATGCGGGGAAACGAAGACCAGCTTATTCAAGAATGGACTATTAGACATGATAGAAAGCCCTGAGAAACGGCCTACCGAAGCTGAAATTAGCAGTCGTCTGTAGGTCGTCTGAGTAGCAAACCGGATCTCGAGATGCGGGAGGGAATCCGTTTTGTAACTGGAATCAGCAAATTGCATCAAAAGCTATCTCAACGAAAGGAAATTCGGCATCTCGGATAGCGAGAGGTTCGAGGTAAGGAAAGTTGAATAGTATCTGGGCCCTTCATCCTGTTGGCAGACGCTCAACTAAAGATGATAGAAAACACAAGGGGACCGAGAGCACCAGACGGTTACACACCGAAATGGACTATCTCGCCTTCTAGGGCACTGTTTCAGCCACCATTTCTTGAATCTATACCTTTCATGGATGTCATCAGGATTTTGTATTACGTTGATAGTTTGCCGGGGGGTGTCCGGTCTAAGCAGGTCGGAAACAGGTTAATCTTGGGTCGCTAAGGCACTGGAAGACTTGATAGCTAAGTTTCCCACAATAGATTATGTGATTGTTCGCAGCATCAACATCATAACCTCAAAAATGGCTATAAAATTCAGACATGACTGTCGTTTTCGTCTCTCCAGTAGTGTAACACAGTTGGTGGTGACAGGATGAACGTCATATTCGTATAAGGTAGGTTTCGAAACTATTGGTAAATCTTGAATAGGAAATCAATAAAAAGTTGGTTGGAGAGAATTCATGCAACAGTCTGACTGGAAATCAACTGCCACCAAAAGTAGATATGGTCTGCAAGCATACAGAATAAGTTTGAGGCAGCCAGCCAAAGCATGGAATGCCTCATTAAGATCGCAGGGTTTGGTGTATAAGAAAGCCATTATGGTTGCCGCCGTCCATCTTTTCTCTTGGTTTAGTGTATTTTAGCTCTATTTCGTAAAGTATAGATTCTTGCCCTGAGGATGTCTGTCATAGTACATAAGAAAGCTTATCACATGTTCATCGCGGCGGCAGGACGGTGAGCCGAGGACTTCTTCGCACAATACAACAGTCTTCCCTTCACGGCAATCCTCCTTCGGTTTCCAGCGAGACCACTTTACGAATTCCTTGCAACCAACTTTTCTTTTGAATGGAAGGTCATATCAAACTAAATCTTGATTAAGATTACCATCCACCCACCAGTCACGTAAAGGGATGAAGGACTAATAGTTGAATTTTCCCACATTTGTATGAATAGGCCTACTTTTAAAACATAGCAAAAGCGAATTAGCTTAATCGACAATTCCACTACAGCGTGTGATATGGGGAGATGCCTTTGTTGAAATTCGCATCTGCTCTGTGATCCAAAGGAGCTCGTGGCAATGTAGCGTACTGATAACTTGTCAAGAATGTACACGGTACTATCATTGTTAGAGTCCCGCTGGGGGTATGGAGAAGGACTAGAAGAGGTAGCAACTATTTTGTCTTGAAAATCTTCTTGTTAACGAAAAATAGCTAAATCACTGACTGATTCACCGAAGGACGGACTGTTTGACTAACTTACTGAG